TTATATCAGACAGAAAATTTTTCCTGAATGTAATAAATTACTAAATAGTCTAGTCTTAAAATTATTTCTTACTTACATATTGTATGTTAATTTGTATTACAGTTAATGTTTTCCTCTTAATGCTACATAATTATTCGACAAGAATCTGTAGTTAAATTGAGATAATGTTTATTACATAGCTCTGAAGACTATCAATATTAAAATTCCAAATAAGACAGGAAAAAAGTTTTTTTAATTTTAAATAAAGTTATACACAATTTTTTTGAAATGAAAATATTTTAAATATATACGAAAATACTTAAAAAACTTTTAGAACTGAAATTTCTTGCAAATATTTACATCATACCTATTAACTATAAGCGTTACCTCTGTTCTGAAAATATTTTTTTTTTTACTACTGCTTCTTCAATAACTGTACATTTTTTAAAATTTCATTTTGCAGTTTCGCAATTTAATTACCTTAATATGAATCTTACATACATTACTTTAGAAACTTTTCTATCATTCTCAGAAAGATTTATATGCATAACAAATTTTAAACAAAAAACTGATTGCATGATAATAACATACATAAAAGTGAACAGAAGCCTATTAGCTAAACATGTGCATTTAAGTTTCATCATGATAAAAATGATATTATTTAATGATTTGCAAAAAAACATTGATATTTAAAATTTAAGAACACAGTACTCTGTCAAGAATCAAATTTACTCTGCATTTGATATTCTACATATTATGTAATGAAATAAGTGTTATGTTTTTAACCCCTTAGGGACAGTTATTTTTTCATAAAAAATTAGTTCCAATTAAAATAAATAATCATAAATTTTGCTGACAATTTTTATATTACTAGTGTTAGTAATTATTACAAGGGATGATGCTTCAGATGTCAAAAGTAAACATAAATTCAATTCTTAAAACATAATGAATAAAAAATTACAACTTATAAAAGCCAACAAAAAGTTTGCTGAGGGTCCCTTAACCGTGACGTCACAAGCCAGTTTCGTTTCAGAGCGCAGGCCTTATCTATCTCGATGGTGACGGCTGAGGCCACAATATGCTTATGGATGAAGAATGGTGATAGATTTTCTAGCTCACCAGTGATAACTAAGAACTTTGGACATTTGTTTGTGCTAATTAAGGTCAAAGTACAAATTCTTTTAGCAGCTCCAGAATTTTTCGTATCCATATGGTTAGGAGAAGTTAAAGTTTTCATATTGAAAAGAGAGAAGGTTTCGGGCCCAACCGCCCCACCCACCATGGAGCCCAACAAGGGAACACAGATCCCTGTGTTAGGGCTAGCCGGGCTATACGCAAACTGAAGCCCCACAGTCGGCTTTCCCAAAAGCGGAGACTTCCGAGAGCTTATCCCCTAGCCACTGACCAATAGGACTAGTGGCCAGCCGATTGACACTAGCGGGGACAGCTAAGTGCCTCCCGTTTTAAGTAGAAGTAGAAGCAGAGGCAAAGCAGTGTGTTGGGGACAGTACCTCGCCCCTCAACTGCCAGGAATCCTCCTTTCCCACCCTACGGGGTCACCATGCAGGGCAAAACGCATAGGCGGTATTCTCACCATGGTGAAATGAAACAGAAACCAAGAGTAGTAGCTGCATCTCACAGTGAGCTCCAACCTCCAGTAGAGGAAACCACAAGGGAGAAAAAAGGAGAGAGAGAGAGCTAGACAAGAGGAGGAAAGGTCACTGGGGCCCCGGGAGTGTGATACCCGATCACCAAGACGGCAATTCCCTGAGGGTTCTTCACCTGCTATGCTTTAGCTGGGCATGTTGGAACGGCCTTCACGCCTAGGGTGGCCCTACCAGGAGCTATGCTCCTGACGTACTTCGCCTGTTCCGCCCAGTGACACCCCCTGCCACGTTGAGGCAACATAGCAGGACTTTGGGGGGGGAGTGAGAAAGAGAAGTGAGGGTAATCACATTTTCATTATTGAATATGCCATTTAGAGAAAACAGAGGAGAAGAATGAACTCATGGAATTCTTATAATAAAATTAATCTCATGTTATTATTATTAAAGAACGTACTAGCCTTCATGAGCATGAGAAAATTAAAAAATTAATAGAAAATACTTGATTCAACCATTGTTCATAATACAAACTGAGATCTCAATCACTAAATTCATAATAAAAAGTTTATGGCTACAATTTACTTGGCACTCTAATCGTACCTCCTAAGGAACATTTACATTTTTATACTATTGCAATAGGAAGAAGAAAGGTTTCAGTTCTAGAAATTTTAGCCCCGTTCACAAGAGCAGATTCGACCGGTAGCAAAAAACGGTTCTTCCAACGTGTCCCGTTCACATGGGACAAGCATTAACTGCCTCACCTAATTGGAGGTAGAACTTGGTTTAATGTTCCTTACCTCTCGGGAGTAGGGCAAATGGTTAGATTGCCCGTACTATACTGCGCAGTTCACATAATTTTAGTTACTGCTCGCTGGACTGTCAGCGAAACAATCGCGCTGAGCATCCCCTCAAAAATTAGATAGAACTGGACAGACATAAATAGATAAATACGGACAAGGTTATCTGATGCTAGGTATTCCAGAAATATCGTTCAAATTAAAACTAAAGTTAAGACAAGTGCATATCGGCTTCAATGCGACAAGGATCTAGGTACCTTTTGAATGATTTTTTTTTAAAAAAAAATTTAAGCATTTTCATCTACTTTTTATGAATATTATTAAATGGTTTTGAGACAAAATAATTTTAAGCTGAAAAAAGTTTTTGCTAGTATTTTTTTTTAATTAAAATTTTTGAAGAAAAATTTTACAATTAAAATGTCTTTCTTCTCCTACAATTTTCCATGTCTCCCCCCAGTTATTTTATTGTATTTATTGGAGTGTTCTTAATAACTTCAAGGAATGATTTTGCAATAATGAATTAGTTTCTGAGGGAAAAAAAAAAATACACTTTATCTAAAACTTTAAAACAAATGATCTCAGTCACATTTTCATTTCAAATAATTTTTTCTTTCAGTATTTTGCAAAAACCCATCTGTGCTTCTATAAAGTATAATTTTAAATAAGCAGTAAAAATAATAAAAATTTAGTCCATACCTGTATACGTTTTAGGACTTTAAGTAAAAGGATTTATTGAAAAAAATGCAAGAGGTTTCTCAGTTTGCATTTGCAGTTTTAAAGAATACAAACTGTCTAATAGACATTTTAACTTTTAATTTAAAACTTTATTACTGAATTTCAGTACACACACATATATATAAATCAAACCTAGTGCTATTTATTCAATTGATAAATATAAACATAATTTACAAACCTTTTTTTAAAACTTTATGTGGACAGAAAAATTGCAAAAACTAATAAAACGCAAGCAGAATTTTTCTTTACCTGTTTTTGTTTTGTAAAACACGTTCAAAACAATTTAATACATTAATTATAATATTGGTTGCCTGCGTACAGGTTTGTATAGATTGATAATAGTTAGTAAATGATTGTCCATTGCACTCAAATCCGAGGAGAGCTTAATTAAATTTATTTTATCAAATAAACACTTGAAAATTCTGGAATTTACCACAGAAATACTTGCACAAGTGTTTAGAATATCACTAAATATAATCAGTAGTTATGCTTCAAACTACCATAAAACGTTAAACACAACGCAATGCGAAGCGCAAAAGAAAACCAACTCAGAAATATATCCGATCTAATGCACTCTGAACTAACAACTCGGCAACAATAACAACTTATAATAGTATAAATAATGTCATAAAAATAGTGTGGTATAATGAGAATTATTACTTTAAAAACCGATGTTTCGAATTGATACCCAAGAAGAACCAATATTTTCCCATTCTGCTTCATTGCACATGTCTTCAAAAAAGTAAAAAAATCATCCAATTAATTTCCTTTGTCATTTTTTTGAATGCGAAAATTTTGTTTTATAAGCTGGGAATATGTTCGGAAATTTGTAACCGATACATTTTTAGATATGAAATTTTAAAATTGATGGGCGTCAAGAAGTCTAAATATATGAACGATTTTCAAAGATTCTCCCAAAATATTTTTAAAAAAAATTACGCTAAAAAATTTCATTTTTTTTTTTTCTTCTACAGTGTGTTATTGTGTCATGTATTCTGAAACTATAATTCTGAGATCAGTTTGTTAATATTTGCAAAAAATCGTTTCAACTTTAAATTTGAAAATAATCTATTCCTCTAAAAATCAAAAGTGTGATCACATCCACAAGCTGTGTATGTACAAAATTTGAGTTCTATATCTTATCGGGAAGCAGCTTAAAAATCCATGACCATCTTTTAAAAATAGCGACAAGCACCAAGAGTGAATTAAATAACAACTTATAAAATAATAATAATAACAGTATATATTTTTCAGGAACCAATTACGAAGAAGTATTCAGGTACCAGTTTTATAAGTCCAGAGTACAAAGATACAAGCGAAATTTTTTTGGCCAAAAATGTGTAAACAGTATTAGAAATCTGCCAATTCGGAGACGTGATTGTTCACAGAGGCTTAGGTGTAAAGAGGAAGGAAGACGGTGGTCTTCTGAATGGGTCCTAAAGATGAAACTCTTTCATGTCTCCTTTTTCTCCCCTTGCTAAGAGCAGCTGTGCGAAGGAGCGTTGCATGTGAACGGGGCTTTTGATTTCAGATTCTGAATTAGCTATATCATCAGCAATATTAAGTTGTATGTATGGATTGATCTAAAAATGATGCAGCTGAGAGAAATTCTGATGCATTGCAGATGATAGGAGGGGGTCATATAAAAATCTAAGAAGAAATTTAAAGAGCTATTGCTAATTATGTTAGTAATTTATTAGATTTATTTTCTTAATTTATATTTTGCACATATAAGTTAAAGAAACACCGTGGCAAGTCTAATGTTTTGTTTTCATATAAACAAATTACTGTTTTGTTTTCATATAAATAAATTACAAAGTTATTTCTATATGTGCTAATTTGTTTTGTATCATTACATATCAAAAATTTATTCAAGAGTCAGTTGTTGTAAAGTCAAATAACAATAATATTTTTTTTATTAAGCAGTACTTTTTTTTTTACAGACATACTGTTTATTCCACCAATAAAAGTTTCAATGATAATAGTTTTTATCACATCAAGTATGTAAAATGGTTTCATATGAATACTATATCTGCATCTTCCATAACATCAATTACTTATGGAAAATCTCCATCTTATTTTTTAGATAGCATTTTTTGGTATGTTGGTTAAATCACCACACAAGTATTACACATTCTTTACCAAAAAATCCAGTACCTTTTTATGTGACAAACATGTACTTTAAACAGAGAAACACAGAAGCAACATTAACATTTCATATGTCATTTTTCAATCTTCTGATGAGATGATTTTCATAAGTTCACTTGGTAAAGTTATTGAAATGATGATATTAAGTGATTTAAACAGACAATTACTTCTTATTGGAAAGAATAAGTTTTCTCCTGATAAGCTTGTAGATGATAGAAATATATTTACAGCACAATTCTCTCCAGAAAAATAAAATTTCTTGGTAGGAACTAAAACTAATCAAATTCTTACTCATATTATATGCATCAAAATTAAATTAGCTAAAGCTATGAATGAAAAATTTATCATATAAAAGGAAATGCAAAAGATAGAATAAATTAGTATGTAAGAAAACTGGAAAACATAAACCCATTTTCATCCCAAAAAAGTTTTCGATATAGATTATAACACACTTGCTTAAAAAGTGAAAGACTGATTAAAATACGTAATTCCATATTATATAATAATACCTTATTTAAATGAATGCCAGTACTGATATTAAAATTATCTTAAATTTCCAAAGAAAAATACAATTTAAAAGATCTTTGATATCAAACTAAGTTTTACTAAGAAAAAATAAGTTAGAGCAAATTTTCAATGCCATGAATGTTTAAGAAAGCTTTTAAAAACTGCATTCTTTAATTCTGATTTAAAACAGTACATTTCTTTTTTACAAATCTTCACAGAAGAAATAAATGCTCATTCTATAAGTTTCTTAGCCTTGAAAAATCTTCTTAGATAAAGAACTTGCCAGGTAGCTAATCCCAAAAGGCAGCACATGGAAAATATGCTGAAGTAAAGCACACGTGTGTTTGTAGATTCTGGGGAAAAAAAAAAAAAAAAAAAAAAAAAAAAAAAAGAACTCAGATATATATACCATATTCCTATAGAAAATTCAAAAGTTATTTACAGAAATTTAGATATAAAACAATACAAAATGCAGGATTTCATCAACACGAGCTCTATACAAAAACAGTAAAGTAAAATAAAAAATTCATTTGCACTGAAATAGCCTTACATACAATCACAGTAAAATTTATGGTACTGATGAAAGCCTTACAATGCATAATATACGCATAACACAATTAAATGAATTGCATAATCAAACTAAAATATTTCTAAAGTTATATATTCAGTAATATTTTTTGTTATTTTACATGTACAATGCTCATTCATTTACAATTTCATTAAATTTGAAAAATTACCTTGTCAAACTTGTGAGAATGATTTGATGCTAATTTTAAAATAGCATATTTATATTTTTATTAATTATGGCATTTTATTCAGCTCACTTACAAGAGCTTTTTAATATTATCATAATTATAATATTTCCTTATTATCTAAAGACAGTTTAAAAATATAAACAACAGCAAAAAACTAAGTGGGAGATATTTTGTTAAAAAATTTGGCATCATTGATAAGTATGAAAATATTTCTATTGGTATGATAAATAATGTATAACTGCAATTTGAAAAGCACATTAACCCTAGCATCTGGCGTTCTATTTATAAATAAATCACAACACAAAACATCTGTTTCAAATGATGGTCTTCAGCATATCACAGCATCTCCTACCAATACTACTAGTTCATTGTAAAATATAAATGGTTCAGTTCACTTTGGGGGCCCTAAATGGTATGTGTATTTACAAATCTTTAGAGATATTTTTTTTTCGCCAAGTACATCAATAAGCTATTCTGGAGCATTTTCAAAAAAACAATATGGCACATAAACAATATTTAAAATTTATATTTAGAATGTTTACTGGAACTAATCATGTAAATAATGCAAATAGTATTTGATTATATTATTTTTGCCTCATTGGTTTAGACGATCCATAAATAGATCAATGGGAGATGCAAGGAATATTTCATACATTCTTCACCATTCAGTAATAATGGTAAACTTATGAAACATCCCAAAATATGATAATTAAAAAATTATTAAATCAGTGAACTATAATAAATTAATAGTATGATATCAAAATATTAAATGGTTTTCTCACATTTAGTTGGCTATAATACATTGATAACTGACAGGGATTGCTGGTTTAGTGAAAAAGATATGGGTCAATCAATTCTGAAGGACTTTCAGTAGAAAGTCTCATTTTGACATAAAATCCCATATTTAATCTGTTGGTGGTACAAAGGCTTCAGATAACACAAGTGTTGGAATTTTTCAAGAAAAACTTGACAATTAATGAAATGATTGTAAAATACCATGATTAACAATCTATGAAAGAAGTTTATTAAATCAAATAAAATGGCAATTCGGTTCGAATATAAGTTTTGAACAGAGTATGGTGAAAATGGATACTCATCATCACTTTATGCTGCGAGTGAAAGTACACAGAAAACATAACCTTTCAGAACTTTTTAAGAAAAACGATTTGCATATTCTAAGCACTCGCGCTTTGTCCTGGACATACAGAAATTTTCAGCACTTCAGCAGAAAGTCTCATCATGCGACACGCAGGGAACATGGAGAAAGATGCAGGCATGGAGGAACTTTTAACTACAGATATATTTCTCTATCAATTTGCTTTTACAATTTGGAATTAAAAAAAAAAAAAAAAAAATCCGAGAAGTTTCGGGGATGTTATCAGTAATGAAAAATCTAAAAAGCTATGGTGTACATTTTCACCATTCCTTGTTTTACAAGTTGAAGGTAAAGAGGTTTATGAAGTTTAAAGCTACAAGCATGATTAAAGAAAATCAGACAGCACAGCATCAGGGTTCGTACACATTTCTGCACACGGAAATTAAGTACTTTTAAGGACCATTAATGAAAAAAATTAAGGACCTACGAGCAAATGGGAACTGAATAAATTCAATTAAAAATCTTATTCTATGCCTGAATTTCAGTTTTGTAATACCATCCTAAAAATAAAATAGATCCCTAAGTAGTATGCATTATTGCTAAACATGAATTAATGAACATAATTATTAATAAGTTTGCGCATAAAATAAACTCCATGCAGTTTACTAAGTAGCATTAAATATTTTACACTTATAATGGGTTGGAAATATTTGAAAGAAGATACCTGACATTTACGTTTTACTAATAGTTTAACTATATGTTGATTTTTTTTATGTCTCATTTTGTCACATACTTGGTCAGTCTAGAGCAGAGGTTCTCAATCGGAGGTACGCAAAAAAAAAAAAAAAAAAAAAAAAAAAAAAAAAAGGTCGTACACAAACCAGCAAAGTATTTTGAACTATTTATTTCAAAAATTAAAACCCCAACATCCTGATTGAGTTTTTTCTCTAACACTCATAAATTTATGCAACCTAAGCTTTCTTCAAGAGTGGTGGTGGTGCTAGCAATACTTTGTGGTGGTGGTACTAAAGGTTTCCAATTTTTGTTTAGATGGTACATGTTAGTCAAAAGGTGAGAACCACTAGTTTAGAGGTTTCGTAAATAGCAGGTAGATTTTATGTCAAACAGCATAGGTTAAAATGAAAAGCAAGATCATAATCAGCATCATTCATAACAAAAGATTGAATGTTATCACCGCTGCTGCTTGTCTAGAGAGAGACCTGCTAATTAGAACAAATCTGAAATGCCTGATGTAGATGGTTGGGAAGTGTTGAAAGTTAGTCAGGCTCTGTTTGATGCAGTTAGTGTCATAGCTTTGTGTAGAGTTCCAGGGGTTGTAACCCAGTTAATACACTTTCAGGTTCCAATAAGCCATTAAAGCACCAGAGGTGATAAGTTATTTTGTATTACTTTAAGTCTCACTAGATGCAAAAAATAAGTTTTACTTGAATTTCTACATTTTTGTGTTTTATCTTGTGATCAAAGCGAGTATTAATGAAAGGCAATAACTCGCCTTGATATGTAGAGATGTAAGCAGTTAGTTATAAATAATTAAATTAGGTAACCTTAGCCATTATGGATTTACATGGCCACTATTAAACTTTATTTAACAGTATTTGTTAAAAAAGGCTTATTAAAATCAAAATCTAATAAAATTTCACAGTTTAAAATACATGTAGTTTATGACACTGATTCTTAAAGGATATTAGAATAATTACACATTAAAAGCTACAAAACATTTATGTTTTGTAAGAACAACACTCAACAAAATATTTATTCGTCATTTTAATTTGAAGCCTTCCCAAACATTTTAGCTAGTTTATACCGTTTCTTTCTCTTTAACCCCTTCGCGCCGACTGTCACGTCTACGTGCCAGCAACAAACACACTCACCTCCCGGCCGACACGCAAGCGTGCTAGAGCATTTTCCCGTTCACTACCGACTGTCACGTATTTGTGCCAGTGTCCTAGAACGTTTGAAAAACTACAATTTCTGCCACAAAATGGCACTGTATGTCCATATGGTTTCAGATACATTTACACTAGACCTTCTACTCGAAATGAGAGAAGCATGACTCGCATACACGTGTTTTTGATTATATAAACAAATGGGGAAATAAATGTTTCCGAATGGCATGATTTATGACGTCTCCTTAAATCGCACTTTATTCGCACGTGGTAGTTGTTTACTGTAAGTAGAGAAGTTTTATTTGCGCTAAAGCGTTGGGTATTTCGGTTTGAGTTCAGTTTTTAGAAAATAATTTGATCTTGTTAGACATGAATTCTTTCTGTTTTTTAACCGTTGCAATGTCGAAGCATCGAAAATGTGTAACAGAAATGGGTTGTAACAAGCATGAAATAGCAAAAATGCAAATGATGCAAAATATTTCAGATATTGATTCTGAAAGATTAACTGAAAGACATTTTCCAAAACTTTGTTCAGAGAGACTGATAAGAAAATGAGACGACGATGCTTCGTTTGTTCACATTCCCAGAAAAATCCTCCAAAACGGCAAATTAGTTATTACGAGTGCAAGGAATGTAACATAGGACTGTGTGTAAATCCCCGTTTTCAAATTTTTCATACGAAATGAGAATTTTAAGTAATATATTTAGTTTTCAGATGTATAATGTTAAAAGTCATAAAATGGTGTAATGAAAATAAAATGTGTAAAATATGCATTTAAACAAGAAATAAGATAATTAAAGTATATAGTATAAAAATATCTATAAAGCATAAGCCGTTTAAATACTCTATAGAGCATTATTAAACAATGCGTTGATACTTCGGAAATGTAATGGATTCAGGCTTAGTAGCAAAAAAGCCCCCGGCCCTGGACGCGTAAGACACTGATGGCCTCCGCGATAAGCGCGCGTTTGCGCTACCCGGCGCGAAGAGGTTAAGCATCTTTTCTAACAACAATTAGAGATTTGTCTCAATATACAAACCAATGCTTTCGCTAGTTTCTGTCTACTTAACTCCTAACTTGTCAACCTTTCCACAATGTACCCTATGAGGGTTTACTTGATCTGGTAAAAGTTAAATAGTCCGAAACCCGCGATAGACATAAAGCAAATTATCACTATGCCTGAAAGTAACTACTATATCAGACAAAGGTTTAAATAAGCCTCTTATTTAAAAAGAACTCATAAAAACATAAAGTCATGTTCTGATGTTAACAAAGTCAATTACATCTCACGGTGACATAATTAAACAAGAACAGTCAAATTCAAACTAAAAATGTGGACTAGAGGTCAAAGATTATACAACTTAATTTTAATTTAATCTGGCTCAGAACTCTATCATATGAGGAAACACAAATGGAAAATTATAGTAAAGGCTGAAATCATAAACAATTGGGTAATTTACATAATAATAACTTTGAAGAATAATTTTATTTATGTATTCAGTTTCTTTCTTCAGCATGTTTCCTTTTCATTTTAGAATTTTTGGATTTAATTAAGGATTTCTGTTTTTCTAAAAAACACTCAATGCATTTAGAATGTATAGAAAAAGTGATTAATTTAATTTCTTTAGTAATATGGATTTCAGAAGAAATATGAAATATATATTGTGAAGGCCAGTTACAGAGCTGGTGTGGCAGAAATTTTAGAATTTAGTGATACACCAAACAAAATCTAGAAATGGCAAAACTTTTAGAATTTAGACAGGCATTGGAAGCAGAATTTAGAAAGGCACTATGCTGTTGAATTTAGGATCCACAGAGATTGCATCAGATGGAAAAATGCCTAGTGCCACCTCTGTGTATGATGCATTAAGACATATTAGATGGATCTTTTAAATTGTAAGTTTTCAATTTCTTTATTAATACAAAAATCCCTTTCTATAATGCCTGCCCAAGTGATAAGGTTAGAAGCATATTTTCCATGCTTGTGTCTAGTGAAAAGTAGAGAAAATAAAGGGAAAATAAACATGTTAAGAAAAAGATTCTAGTATCAGGCGTAAAACATTCAAATATTATGTTTTCATTGTTCTTCCAGACGTTCTCCAAAAAGCAAGAAATTCATCATAAATTTTCTGTAAAATACATCCATTAAGCGTTGATATTATGGAGACATTTTTCAGTTTGTCAATTTATCGAATCTTCTAGAATCGTGGGTCTATAAATCTTGACTTCAAATCTTTCTAAATTTTCCAAGCTGCAATGTCAAAAATACCACAGAAAAATTATCCCAATCAATTCTGTAACAGCAAAAAATCAGAAATATTTTGGAAAAACAAAAACAAACAAACAAAAAAAAAAAAAAAAAAAAAAAAGGGAAAAAGTGTAAAATTAATTTCATAGAGAAAAACTGATGCATATTTTGAGAATTTTGAATATTCTGAGATAATTAATGGAAAATACGCTTACTATGAAAAAATTAAAAACAAGATATTTTTAATTAATTACATACTTAATTTTGTTTTTACATAAATTATGCTTTATAGCCTTATACCTAGTTTATTTTTTAGATTCAAAATATTGTATAATAAGTTGCCAATATAAAACTTTATAATATGACAGTGAAAAATAAAAATGTTTTATTTTAATGTTATTTTTTAAATATAATACCAATATATTACCATTATTTTAATGAAATTTATCCAAATTATCAAAATTATGATGTTATAAAAAAATCGTCGAAAAATTCTCAGATTTTGGAATTAAAAATTTTCTATAGAAACTGATCTTAAAATCACCAAAATGTTGACAAATCGCCAAATTTAGAACCGTTTAATAAAAGAATTCACATCCCCAAAAGCGAAAATTGTTTAAGAGCTCTTTATTACAAAAAATGAATTTCGAAATGCTTATGTTTCACTTCTTGTTTACAACAAACTGCTTTGCTGGTTTCAGAAAAATTATCCATTCCTGCTACATTTTTGGTCTTTTCCTTTTCAGAAAGTTAATTATTTGAAATTGGTTGATATCAGCAGAGGAATTTTTTCTCCTACAACCATTGACATATAAATTTCTTTAAAAGAATTTTTTTCACATCATCAGAAATAAACATAACAACCTTGCCATCATCCTATTTGGGGATCACTCTTGAAATTTACACTTTATTTTAAATTTATACCACCTAAGTTTACCTCTTGACTAATTTATACATAATTCTTATTCATATTATACTGAACATTAGTGCAACCAGATTCATATTATACTGCACATAGTGCAACCAGAACTTCTGCTTCAAATAACTCACTTCTGATTCAAATTAACCTTTGTGTCACTTTTGCAATATATATAAATACAGGACTTTAGAATATCCCCTCAGTGTAAACAGTCTTACAGAAATATCTGTACCAGATATTAAAACAATCACTACAGTTCATTATCATAATGTTGTTATAATATTTCTCACTTTTTTATGTAAATGAATCAGAAAGGTAAGCAAAAATGAATTTTTATGACTTAATATTTGTTGTACACATTTTGAAAGTTCTGTCTGGTTAAAAGGCTAAAAACAAATGCAGCAGAATAGTAAATTACCATTTGTATCTCTCATCTCAGCTTCACGCTGCCGCATGTACGCAAAGTCTTTTACAATTGATTCAGACAAGTCTTCAAGTTTCTGCAGCTCAACTTCCAGAGGTTTCAGACGTCCAACTTCAGCAATCTATGCAATGAAAATTATGATAATTAACTATTTAATCTATATAGCACGCTCCTTCTCACCAAAAAAAGATTTCTAAAACAAAAAAAATTCAAAAAAATTCTTGATGTTTTGTACATTGTATTGTCAGAAACAACTTGCTTATATATATGCTGATTATGCTTATACATAAACAAAATATAAGAAATTTCAAATTAAGATTATAAATTATTATTGATTTGCAGCAGTTATAAATGACAGCACTTTTTTTTAACAGGTCTGCAATTTCTTTGTTCAAAATTTATCTAAAATATTTATATAGCTCATTATTTTCATTTACCGAATGGTTTTTCTGGTTTATAATTTCAAGAACTCCTATTTAATACTATTTATTTTTACAGTATTACTAGTTTTAGGTCACAATGGAGGAGAATATAGCTTGATGATAATTAAAATGTTAAAAAAAATTCTTACTTTTACTGTAAAAATTTTTTGTAGCCTTTAATTAATATTTAATATATAATTTTAAATTAATTTTCTAACCTTTATTTAACACTTTGTTTTGAATTATTTCAAGAATTTATAACCATGATATAATTCGGAAATGTGGCTCTCTTGAAATTATTCAGCTGCTCCTTGAAAAAGCCCATAGAATTTTCAATATTTTGTTATATTATTTTTATTATGTTAGTTTATTGGGTTCCCCCTGATTCTGATGTACATATATTCTGTTAGATTGTTAATCTAATATATTGATTTAATTATTTCTTGACCCACTATTTTGATTTAATTTACAAATGCAAATAGAGATATGATAAAAACATAGCCTAGCAAAATTTTTAATTTCATTGGAACCTGCAAAGGCCAGTGTTGATTTATATATTTTCAGAGAGATACGGCTGCAGGATGCTCCTTGAGCAAACAGTCCTAATGCAAGCGATGATTTTCTTAGCATACAAAAATTAAATCTGGCAGTGTTTAAAGATTGAAAGTTGATGACACTACTGACATGGAAAGGCTGCATGGATGATAAATGGGTAATGACAGATATTTAGAGATGAATCTAAAAAAATAAAATCTCTCTATCACCTTCAGAGATGTCTTAAGTCGCAGGCACCACTATTATACCCACACAATTCACTGAAAAACTGTTTAACATCACATACCATGATGCATCTACAGACACATACAAGCTTTACATTCTGCTATCTATCTGCTATCCACCATCAGTTGAGTGGTAAAGTTGGTAAACTCCTAGTATTTTGGACTGCTTTTGGATCCCAGAAAACAGACAGGCTGCATAGGCATTTCTATGGTTTTCCCTATGTGTAATATGATTGCATGACAGTTTCAGAAAGTACTCCAAGAAAGCATCCTTTTCTTTAGGCAGGCAGCTTACTTTGCCATAATCAAATAAACAAACAAAACTAATGGTAGAAGACAATTGTTACGGTGTTTAGTTCAGTGCTCACAGGAAATGGGAAAGTGGCTACCTAAAGTGATGTACTACATGAAATTTCCCAGTGACATGCAGTGCTTGTGTAAACCATATGACATTAATCCAGAGAGCACTTCCTAACTGTTACTTTCAAGTGTAGAATTTGAAAGGAAGTCTATGATGGTCTGAACCAGGAATTGGCAGTAGGGCAATACACATATTTCTTAGAATAACTACGGCTTTTTGTCTTTTGAGGCTTTTCTCAGTAAAACAAATTTAAATTTATAATGCATTTGGATTTGTCAGTTCTTGAACTATTTTATAACTTCTAGTTTTGTTCAAATTAAAGCAGAATTTTGTAAATAATCTTTCAATTACAAAATCTGGCAATTTTTGAAAAACTGAAATAAGGTTAGCAATATTTTGTGATCCCTTTTCCATAAAACTGATAATGCACTGAGTGAGCTACAAGTTGAAATTATAAATTTGCAATTTTTAATTCAAACAAATTCAGCAAACTTGAAAGAATTTGCTCATGAAATGTTGGTTATTACTGAATCAACTTACATATCTGAACTCTCCTGAATTTCAGTAAAAATGTTTTACAATCAAGCATCACCAATGATCATTTACAAGTAGTTTTAGAAATCTCCCACATAAAATTAAAACCAGAAATTCTTTAAAAAAACTATGAAGAATGTAAAACAGCATCACTTGTCTCAGTGTTGGTTATTATATATTCATTTATTTTTTTGTTAGAATTCAGTTTTCTGATAATTTATATATTACAAAATGCTATTTTATTTGTGGTCTGTCACATTTTTTTTTTTTTTTTTAAATCCTAGATGTGGTCCTCTGGCTAAAATGTTTGCTGGCTTGGTCTGGCCTAGGCAAACATTTACTCTGTCAGAAGAAAACTAACAATTTAATTATTTTGCTATGAAATATGAATGGAATATAAATTGTAATTTGAAAGATCAATACTTTGGAATAAATCTGTTTGCTTCAGCATGACCTAACACAATGCAACACTTCATTATTATTAATGCTTAGTTTGAACAGCAAAGTGTACAGAATTTGTTGTGCTCAGCTCAAATTCTTGATCTTAATTTGATTGAATAATTATGGGATGAGCTGAAACAACATTCAACGCCATATGAGAATACCTTCCTCTAAAGATCTCTCTGACAGAGGTTTTAATTGAGGAATAGACATAAATCCTAATAGCTATACATATAAATTCCTGAAAGTATGCTTAGAAGACATTTATCACAGCCAAAATTTACTAAGTGTGCAATTCAGAGAAGATAAGCGCTTTGCAATTTTTTTTTTTTTTTTTTTTTGAAAAATTACTAATTTATGGAAGGATATCAAGCACATGACTACTTATATATTTGCTTTAACTATGATCAACACTTTCTCAGAATAACATGTTGCTAATGTAAAAAAAGATGCATACCAGCCTTTAATTACTCCATATGTTAAGGCACTCATTTGGCAAAATAAACTTTTCCTCTTTTAAGTTTATATGTTTGAATACTGTTGCCAATACAATGCATATTTTTACTTATTTACATGGCAGAAAGTTTTATACCCATTATAAATAAAATGTATTTTTTGCATAATTAATTATTTCACCTGATAATTCAGTTTTGGATACTCATCATTTAATCATTTGGTACAGTTGTTTAATTGTATGAACAATTCGTGCTCTTAACCACTTAATGCATGTATGCTTTGATTACTCCATGAGTTTTACATACATGTTGTCAGTTTATGAAATGTACTATGTTTACATACGATAAGTTAACAGTTCAGTAAATGGTGGATTGCTAAATCAATTGCCCATCTCTCTTTCTGAGTTTTAATTGCATTTGGAAGTATGCCTTCATTTCCATTCTTTCAGATTTCCTCCTTAACAGTCTACTTTAAAAATGTGCGACTTTTCTCGTATATTTTAAAACAGAAATTTTAATTTCTATTCTACAAATAACAGGAAAAAAAAAAAAAAAAAAATTGATGAATAATACCAATAGGAATCAGCTTATCAGGGATGATTCAGATTTGAAACTAAAAGTAGAAATGTAAATCTCCGTATGTGGTTTTGTCAGCAATGAAAAGTTCCTCTAGATGCAGATGCCAGTAATTTGGAAGTAATTCAAATGATTTTACTTTGGAAAAGAATCTCTCATTAAATTTCTTTTATAACTATGAAGAACATGATTTTGACAATATAATAAAGGTTTTTTTTTTTTTTTTTTTTTTTTTTTTTTTTTTAACAGTGTATCTATTAGAAAAAGATATGGCTGGCAGATTTGAAAAACTGATAAACTTGAATCTTTACACTTTTTTCTCATTTGATTCTTTCTAATTTTAACCTTACTAAACAACTTGACTCAAAAGCTTTGACAAGATTTATTTTATTGACATCTACCAGCAGCACTCATTGAAAAAGAACACAATGTAGCACAATTTCAAAAGCTAAGTTTTAGGAATTCTAAGAAAGTTTTTTCCTTTATTTCTTAAAAATAATTCATGCTTACGCTCTGTCTTTGTTAATACTCCATATAATCCTCCCCCCCTTTACACTTGCTTTGATTTTTTTTTTTTAAATCTAAGGAGGGGAGGAAGAATTGAACAGTTACTGAAATATTAAATATATTTGATAAATTATGTTGAGAAAATAAATCTCAAGATTCCTGACCTTCTCAAGAAGCTGACCCTGAGACTCAACGAGTATGTCTTTGAATTTTTCTCCAGCTACTTGTCAAAAAACCTTTTATGATTTCTTATGAAAAATCAAAATTGACAGAAATTATACTCGCACAACTGTTAAGAAATTAATTATTCCGGCAATAAAAATATTATCATTCTTGACTATGCAATAAAACTGGGAGAACAGCACAAATATGCTGATGTTATCAAATAACAGTTGAAACACAGAATCATGGTGATGGCAGATAATATTGAGAACTTTCTAAGAGCAAATGGCTTGTATTCACATTACACGAGACAAATCACTTAAACATTCATCCAGCGTTATTTGCAAGGATATGGACAAAGGTCAAACTATTAGTGGTCTTATTCACTCACCCAATGGATGACTTCAATGAAAATATAGACATATCAAATAATGCTAATTAGTTTCACAAGCCACAAATCTTATAAAACTCATGAAGTGTTTCTCATCTATAAATCTCCAATAACTAGCAAAACAGATAAAGAAATTTTGAAGCTGATTTACTACAAATAACAGGGTTATACAAATGCAATGAAGGAATAAATAGAATGAGAATGAAGCCCAGTAAACTCTTTCTGGAGAAAAAAGCTGTACTGCAGGACTGTGTATGATTATACAGTCAAAAGTCGTTAATTCGGACACCCATAATCCGGACATCAAAGCTAAAAACTTTCTGCGCATGCGCCGCGTTGGCACACGCGCACGGGCGTTTTACGCGTGCGCGTAAGACCTTGACTACTGCGCATATGCGTGGGCGCAAGTGCAGAATACGTTTTCGCCTGCACGTTTAATGTATCAACGGACGGTGTAAGCTAAAAATATCTAATTGTCTATTTCAATTAATGTTAATGATTATGTTGTTCCTTAATCTTCAAATTGGATACCGCTTATTATTTTTTGCAGACTGTAGGAGCAATTTTATAAAAGTAAACTTGAACTTTCGATTATGTCAAATAGAATTTCCGATGCTGGAACTTCCAAAGGATCCACAAAACGAAAGTATGTTTCGATGTCCAACAAACCAAAAGTGGAATTGCTGCAAAAAATGGATAAAGACATGAAGAATGTGACAGAGAGGTTAGTGAAAACGAAAAAATTTCGATTGAGAAGTTAGTAAGTATTCTCGGCACAGCAATTAACGGGACTTGAACAGCGGAACTTTGTAACTGAGCAAGAAATTATGTCTGTTTATAGAATTAAAGAGAAAATATTATCACATAAAACGAAGCAACTTAAACAACTTACATTGAAAGAAATGTTTAATTAAAGTAAACAAAATAAATATTAAGCTTTTTTTTTTTTTTTTTTTGTAAATTTTGATACCCTTTAGATCATAATTGTTCTTTATTTCATAAATTACGGTTTCATATTTTTAATTTTAGAATTTATGCATGCCATCTTACGAGATTTAAACTTATGATCTATAATCCAGAAAAATCGATAATCCGGATTCGCTGCAGTCCTGACGAGTCTGGATTAACGACTTTTGACTGTATTGCATCATTCACAAAAAAAGCATGGATCATCAATAAAATGCTATTGCTTTTAACTGCAGCTTTGCAAGTGTGCAAAAATTTCTAAATTTTACAAAATCTCATTTACTAAAGTTAAAAACGAGATAAAATCTCTTAGTTGACAGGATGGAACTATGTTTAAACAAATAAAAATAAAAGTATAGGAGCTTTCACAGACAAGTCTGCTTTGATAAAGCATGCATTCTACTATCAAATTCTATCTACAGATTGCAAAAACAATGAGTCCTGGCATTACCAATTTTACCATCAACATCAAATCCTAATTTCCATCCATTCATTTTAATCTAAAATGACTTTGGTAAAAACCTTGACTGGAAAACTAAGAATTACATCTAAATTTATTACAAACCTTTATGAAGTCTTTCATGTCAGAAATTAAGTTTACAATATTTAGAGCTAATAAAGAAACCACAGATAACCAGGTCTCTTTATGGAAGCATCAATATCATCTATCTTGGCCTACATGCAACATGTGAAAAATTTTGTTTTGTACAAGTTCTCTAAAAGACCTATTTTCAAAAAGAGGTAGATGATATTTTCCTTTACACTGTCTAACAGCAGAAAATGCAAAAATTCACTTGCCAAGAAGCTGTAATTTGTATTGAACTGGATTTGTGCACCAATGCTGCAATTTCAATAATAGTCTGATGTTTTTCAAGAGTAAACATATCCCTGTGTACATGGGGAAAACAATAGAGGGAAAATACCAAATTTGTGCACTTCTCTGATGCAAAGCGAAAACAGATAACTTTGTGCATGGAGAAAATGACAATGCTGGTAGCATAAAGTCCTGTTGCAATGGAGAGTTTCTGCAATTCTCTGATTTATTCTGATGCTAAAACAGTGTTCATGGAAATAATAGCGGAGGGGGGGGAGAGCAAGTGTTTTATTATCTATGTTTTTAATTTTATTAATTAGTTGCAGTTCTTTTTGCAATTCTTAGTGCGAAGATATTTTTGAAAATGACTATTATCTTTCATGCCTTAGGTTGGCGAAAAATTAGCCAGCAACGATTGGTGACTTTTCGAGAAGGTTGAGTATGTAATTAGAAAATATTAAAATATTATATGTCAAATAAGATCACTATTTGTATTCAAGGGCGAATATTCTTACAGATACAAATCATAAGAATTTATGCTTACACTGTCATAACTCTTAGCTTCAACACCATGCTTTAAAGTTAAGACAACTTCTCGGTCTTGACCTCTCTGCCCTGCAAAATAAGCAACAATCAAAATTAAAATACTAAAAGGTGTAAATTTTCATTTAAGATAGCAAACTTTAATTACAGAATTACAAAGAAATAGAAATATATTATTTTAGAACTACAGTCAAAAGTCGTTAATCCGGACTCATCGGGACTTCGGCGATTCCGGATTATCGATTTTTCCAGATTATAGATCATCAGTTTAAATCTCGTAAGATGGCATGCACAAATTCTAAAATTAAAAATACGAAACCGTAATTTATGAAATAAAGAACAATTATGATCTAAAAGGTATCAAAATTAAAAAAAAAAAAAAGAAAAAAAAGCTTAATATTTATTTGTTTACTTTATTAAACATTTCTTTCAATGTAAGTTGTTTAAGTTGCTTCGTTTTATGTGATAATACTTTCTCTTTAATTCTATAAACAGACATAATTTCTTGTTCACTCGCAAAGTTCCACTGTTCAAGTCCTGTAATTGCTGTGCCGAGAATACTGATTAACTTGTCAATCGAAATTTTTTCGTTTTCACCAACATCTCTGTCACCTTCTTCATGTCTTTATCCATTTTTTGCAGCAATTCCACTTTTTGTTTGATGGACATCGAAACATACTTTCGTTTTGTAGATCCTTTGGAAGCTCCAGCATCGGAAATTCTATTTGACGTAATCGAAAGTTCAAGTTTACTTTTATAAAATTGCTCTTACAGTCTGCAAAAAATAATAAGCAGGATCCAATTCGAAGATTAAGGAACAACGCAATCATCAACATTAACTGAAATAGATAATTAGATAATTTTAGCTTATACCGTCCGTTATACATAAAACGTGCATGCGAAAACGCATTCTGCATTTGCGCACACGCATATGTGCAGTCTTAAAGGTCTTACGCGCATGCGTAAACGCCTATGCGCATGTGTCAATGCGCAGAAAGTTTTTAGCTTTGAGGTCCAGATTATGGGTGTCCGAATTAACGACTTTTGACTGTATTATAAAGTATATACAGTGTCTATATGTCTTTATGCAGCCTTTATTTTAGCAATTACTGGTTACAGGCATGTACTTCCAACTACTAGAATATTTTAATTGATATAAATATTTATGGTTCAGGACTTTTTTTTAACTTAAATCCCCAAACAAGGGGAAATTACAAATTTTTCTTTAACATGTTTCCCCAGTCTCTATAATTAAGTTTATAAAAAGTTTACTCTCATTCTAAAAAATTAAAATACAAAAAAATTTATTCCTGTACAACAAAACCGACACACACTCAACTCTAAAATTTCACATGCTTGTGGGTCATGCACAAACTAAACAGCAAAATATTTGTATTCATTCATGAAACATCAGTTTAGGAAAAGATCTCTAACATTAACAGATTACATAATGAGTACTGCTATAGACAGTGCTGTGAACAAACGTTACTGATAAAATAGTGTGTATGTGATAGTGTGATAATGTTTTTTTAAAGCACTTTATTCACAGAGATTCTTTTCTAAAAAACAATGGCAAGTTCTAAGTTGGCATACAGCCTAATGCAACATTTGCATAAATTAAAAATGAAAGATGTTTTAGTTTAATTAAATTTTCTGTATGATTATTCAATTAAGATTTTACACTAATAAAACTCCATTAGAACATCAATGTATTTTTAGCATTTGAAAATTTATAAATTACTTGTCTGAAATTCTACTGGCAAACGGTATGTAACAAAATTATAAATAAAGAACATTACACAAGAGTAAATTATAAATGAATATCACTGAATGACATTAATGATGGGAAGGGACCTATTTTTTTTCTTTTTAATTTTTTAACTGGCCTCACAAGGCAAGCTGAAAATGTCAGTAATCTCAAAATTTGAAATTAAATATCTCAGTCAATTTTTATTGCACAAGTCAAGTTTATTGTTTAACTTCCTTGTACAAAGTAAAAGAACTATTGTAATTGGGAAAAATTTCCCAATTACAATACTTTAAATTTAAATGAAACGGTATCATATTTGAACGAAAATATCTATTTCGAATCGAAATAAAACTCAAAGGAACAGCTCCTAGGAAACGAAAAGAGCAAATAATCAAGACTCCACAAGGAGCAGTAAAAAGAGCTAATAGAGAACCCTCCATAGGATTAAGATCCATGGCTAGCGCTGGAGTGCTGACATTTGGGAATCTGAGGGACTAGTTCCTGTAATTTACGTACGAGGGCCATCCAGGAAGTAGATTACGTTTCCGTCTGTGTCCGCTAGGGGCGGGGCTAGCGCGGCCATCTTGGGGTCAGAGCGTTGCGCAGCTCAGTCTGCATCTAGCCGTGCTAGTGAGAGGTTCGTGCTGTGCTCCGTTCAGATACTGTGACGGTTTGAAATGTCTGCGTTAATTGAAAATCCCGCGAGCTGCGCTCAGTAATAAGGTTTTTCTGACTGCAAAAAAAACTGTAAACCGATAGAAATCTATCGGCAGCTTCGTGAAGTGTATGGGGACAACATTATCACTGAAGGTGGAGTGCGTCAGTGGGTCATAAGATTTTCAAAATGGCCGAACCAATGTTCACGACGAAGATCGAAGTGGGAGACCCAGCATAGTGACCGCCGAACTTCTCGAAAAAGTCAATGCTAAAGTCCGTGAAAATCGAAATTTCACAATAACGGAACTTTCTTTGAGTTTTCCACAAATTTCGCGAAGTGTTGCACGAAATCATCAGCGAAAAGCAGCAGCGTTTTGATGACGACGCACAGCTGCAAGAAGAGGTAACGAAGTGGTTGAAGGCGCAGGCGGCCGAATTTTTCGACGAAGGAATTTCCAAGCTCGTACATCGCTACGATAAATGCCTTAATTTGTATGGTGACTATGTAGAAAAGTAGTATTTGAGTGTGGCTTTCATCTGTATATAATAAAATTTGTTTCCTATACTTTGTTTATTTTTTTATTCCAAAACGTAATCTACTTTCTGGATAGCCCTCGTACTTTCAACAGATTCTCGCACTGCCAGATTTGGGAGGATTCCATCTATTTACACACAGGAGTGGCCAGTTTCACTGAGATACACTAGTTTATTAGTCTAAAGGGGCAGTCTGCCCAGAAGGACTATTAATTTCGTTTTAGCAATTTGCATTGATTCACTTTAAATGGTGAATCCTCTTTCTAAAATTGTTGCTAATAAATATTACAGCCCTGTATTTATATTTAAAGAAATTAAATAATGAAGAATATTCATAAAGTGTGTACGTTTCTCACATTGTGATAAAAAACAACAGTACCTAGAGCCATCTAATTTTGAATAATGTAATCCTCCACCAAACATGGGCATCTGGAAGCCCTAATTTGGAATTATGTTTTATTATTGATTTCATGTTTTGTAACACTTAAACAAATTGATTAACAAACTCAATGATTACAAAGCAAGCAATGGCAACACTTAAAAAAAAAATCTCCAGCACGCGAGACTGTGCATCGGAAATTCTAAAGATACGCTCATTTTAAAATTATTTTGAGATACTGCTGTTGAATTGAATTTTAAGGTTTAAGTGCAAAGAATACGATATTTAACAAATAAAAGTAACACAGAAAACATTACGAAAATTTCCCTTTGGGGTTAATCATTAAAATAATAAAAAAACTGAAAGCTTCCAGTTTTTTTTTTTTTTTCCCTTTTTATTTTTTAAATACTAGATGGAACACAAGCAAACCAAATGTACACATACATACGTACATACATAAGACATATTAAAAAGGTCAGAGACTACAACCTATATATTCTTTCTGGGTGATCTGTAAAGCTTGGAGAGGATATCCTGTAAAACTCAGTGGAACATAATCTCATCATAATCGGTGAGAAGAAGCAAGGATGCAGGACAGTATATTAAAAAAAAGAGCTAAGTTTACCTTAATTTCGAAAAAAAAAAAAAAAAAAAAAAGTATTTAAAAAGTGCATTATTTACGGGATGCATAAATATAAAATTAAGCATCAGTTTACAGGCTTTAATGACTTACTTTTACAAACTATATTTATGCTATCAAATAGGCACATTTATGCTATAAATACTGTTGTGCGCTTACAAGTTTAACAGATTTAATGCCACAGCTCTGATGAGAGGTTAATATGATTTATTTTATGAGATGGAACACTTCAGAGATCTGGAACTTTCTAGAAAGAAAGTTGTACAACTCTTCACAATATCACAGAGTACAATCAGTAATTACATTTCAAACTACTCTGAACATTAAACATAATGCAATGCAAAGCACAGCTAAAGAGAAAACTACTCGGAGATATCTCACAACTCCGAACTCATGGCAAGTTGACAGCAGAAACTCGGAGCAACTCCAGCCCTATATAGTTTTCACCAGCTGCTAAGATATTTCTAGTACTTTCTGCTTCTCAAAATTGGAATGACACATGAGGATCGAATTACGGTTGCAGCTAGATCAATTAATTTATTCAATAACAATATTTATTAAGGTGATATAGGGCCTGGACCCAAATGTCGCCAAATTTGGAAACAAAAATTAGTCGCCAAAACCATTGACAGCCTGGCAATATGTCACCAAATTACCGAGATACCCATTTAATTGATGTTAAATATACTTGCCCCTGTATTCTTACTTTTTTGGCATAGCTTGTCTCTTGATTTTTTTTTTGTGTTATATTACACAAAAAGTTACAATTTCACATCATCTATCTATGTACAAAATTCGTAGCAATACTTACCAGGAGGCATCTTTGAAGAAAAACATGCTTCAAATACATCATAGTCATCAGTGACAAAGACAAACTTTCCCTTATCTACATTTTCTCTTGAAACTAATATATGACCTTTTGTATCTGTAACCTATAAATGCAAGTTTTTATATGAGTATTATAAAGTATATATAAATAATATGTAACATAAAACAATTATCATATTTACTAGATGCGAATAATTTCCAAATCACATGATTGGATAAACTACTGATAATTATTGTAGTATTATTTTCAAGAAACATACACTGCAATAAGAATACGTAATAATATTAGCATCACAATATCTAATAAGATACCTTCATTTCTACTTCACCTTATCTTGAAACCTGCCCACTTTTATTGGTCCAGCTAATTACTAAATGGCAGATTGCAAATATCCTTAACTAACTAAATCAAACTAAACATGTTTAATCATTTTATTTTCCATATTTGTGGAATGATGCACTGGCATTCACATACGAACAGTTTAGCAAGAGATAAAGTAAATATTCTTTCTTTTTTTACAATTAAGTAGTGATGGTGCTGCCATCATTACTACTTTGAAAGAGATTTAATTATTCCTGGTTTGACAAAATTTCAAGAAATTACACAAAAACATTCATTCTTAAAGCAAAATTAACGTACTTGACTACAATATACTTACAAACAGAATTATTATGGCGTTACAATATCTACCAGGAACAAAAACATTTTTTTTTTTAATACACACAAAAACAGAAGTTTTTTTTTATAACATTTTATTATAGGAAACACTAAAATATTTGTGGCCTTTTTTAATTTCTTTTAATTGTGTTTTGATTTTAATAGTGATTACTCTGTTATCGGAACATGATAGGTTTCAACAAATTGGTAGGTAGTCCTCCTTGACAAGTACTGTAGTATCAACAAAAATATATATTTTTTTTTCTTGCTATCCACTTGGTTTTCAGGTATAGAATTCCTAAAAAATCAGTCAACCATTTATTCCAATAACATGAAAAACTTTTGTTGTACTCTGCAAACAAATTCCCTATTAAAAAATAGCCTAGATCAACACTTCATACTTGTCAGAATAATTGGAAATCAATGCGAGGTTTCAAGGTCAGTATTTCCTTCACTTGCACACAGTTCCATACTTCTTGCGTGTAAAACAAATTTTCTATTGTTCTCATTAAAACATTCTTTACTGGTTTTACACAGGCTTCCCACAACCTTCCAAAATGAAGGAGGGATAAAATTAGTCTATTTCTTTAGAAATGCATACGCCTACTGAATATAACATCAAACTTGTCAACATTCCAAGTGCACTATCCAATAATGAAATTTTTTGTCACTTGGTATATATTAGCTTATAACTTAAAACATTTTGCTTTCTTTAATGATGTAAACAAAATTTAGCTAACAAATTTTATTTAAATACAATTCATAAGCAAACCCCAAAAGCCACGTCACTCAGAGGCTTATGTACAACTTTCATTACGACTTGGAAACATGTTTTCTTTTCAGCTTAGTACTGAATATAGGATTTCTTAAAAATAAACCAATTAATACTAAAATTCAAAACTTCATTTAAATGAAAACACAAAGTAAGCACACTTACTGCCTGTGTTTATAAAAATCACTTTATCCGATAAGCTAAAGTGAAAAATAAGGGATATGAGGAATTTGACGATTTCCTCATTTAAATAATGAATTATTTCAGGCACCCCCAGTTCTTTTAATACTTACATTACATTATTACACTGTTGACCGTGAAGCTGTTACCAAGCACAGTCAGTTAGCAACAATTATGGACAAGCATAACATAAGAACACACTCATAACATCTGTGCGTTCATTTGATGTAATCCTTTATAATATAACAGCTCTATAAGCCACCTTTTAACTTTATGAAGAAAGTTATAACCTAACTGTTACTGCTAAAATTTTTCCTTGCCTATTTTTTTAGAAGGGGAGATTGAAATCTGCAGTTTGCCTTCTAGAGAACAAAAAGAAGTGGATTATTTTCTAAACTTACGAGATTCTATCATTAAAAATGTGATATGGCCAGCTAAATATATCTGACAATACAATAACACACCAGAACAATTACTTGCACAATTACCTTCAGTTAAATCAAAGGAGGCGAAGAAAACAGCAGAAATTAATAAAAGCGTTTGTACAAAGCATAGAAACCAAGTAAGTTGAATGCCTAACATTTATTAAACAAAGAGACAAGTTCTCTCGGAATTGTATAGAAACGACAGTTGTAACTTCAGCAGGATTTCCATCAATTCTTTTTCCGTTGTTTTATAATGTGATTTTATTTTGGCAATCTTATTTATTTTATAACTGAAAATAATGTTAAATACTCGTCAGAATAATTTAATTTACATTTTTTTCTGATTTGCAACGAAAATGGAAAATGTCTGTTAAACAGTGATGCACATAAATAGGTTTAATTGCAAAACAAGTTAAATATTATGTGCAAAATGATAATATGGGTGTTGTGTAAAGGTTGGTTTATTTGACTATGGCAAAGCACTCGAGGACTATCTGACTCGAGAATGCCTACATGAAAGACTCTATAAGAGAAACTGGCTCGTATACATGTTAAGAAAATATGAAAATATCCATGCAGCCAACCTGCTCACTGGGTTTAAGCCCTGGACTGAAATATCAATGTTCAGAGACTTGGCTTGGGCTTGGTGAGCCAGTGTGGTTAAAGTGAAAGAACTTAATGATGGTTTTTTGGGAGCAGCGCCGGATTTAGCATTTTTCCTAGGCGGGGCAAAAACTAAAAATTGCTTACCTTACCCATCTTTAAGTTTCTGTAATAAATTTTAGTTCTTCAAATAAACATAGAAATAGGTAGTTTGAGATAAAATGTAAAATCCAATTTATAGTAAGAAATTCCTTATGTGCCATTTTTGTTCTAAAAGAAATATACATAACAAATGGTTTAGTTTCTTTACTTATGGCAAAGCATAAGAGGGAAGATTTTTTCTGAGGTCTTTTCAAGAGTAATTGGCTCATATGCAAGTTCCGCATGAGAGAAACAGCGGAAACACCCATGCAGCCAGCTAATTTGCTTGATTCTAACTCCCCACCGAACTTCGAGTGTTCAGACATCTCAGCCGCTGGTGGCCGAACATACATACCAAAAGTTACATAATTAAAAACCTGTGCGAATCCTCTTAACGCAGTTACTTCTCTGGTGCAATAAAGTAGCCAAATTTACATTTTCCCTGAAATGGGGATTTTTTTCAATATTTGCAACAATACCTACTCACACTAATAAATGATGCTAATAGAAGACGATTCAGCACTAAATACTAAAATAGTTCAGCACAGCACAAAAATGGGAATCGGACATTATTAAATAATAAAAAAATTCATTTAAACAAATATAAGCAAATTACAAATCACTAATACAATGGACTGAATAATTTTGTACCAATTTCTCGATACTAACAGAAACTTTAACCTAGCACGTTAAATATTCATTTCACAATAACGCCTTCAAGTAGCCTACTCAAGAACTCTACTATTGTCCTTACAAAGCCCAATAACATAATATATATTTACATATTCATGCAAAAGACTATTTTTGTACTGTAATAATAATTTTCTCTGAAATACGAAATTTTGCAATATTTGCAACAATAACTAGCCAGACCATGGAGGTAAGAAAGAAAGGGCCAACCCTGCACTGCGAGTGAAGCACTGCTCCGAGGGCTTCGGTCTCCAGGAGTGTTTTTTGTTTACATTTAGAACCTCCCTTGACAGTGCACTGATACTATTTCGACACACGATACTTCCATACAAATCGAAAAATGGGACACTTCCGCATAAAAGAAACATTTAATGCGTGATGGATAATAGCAATTTGTATAGTTATGCTTATGCAAAATGTTATGTTTAAAGAAGATTTTAGCAAAAAAATTACGCTTAAAGAATGAAAAATATCTTATGGTATCTTTAAAATTATATATGTCTTTTGATACACTTGATTATGCACTCATAATAAAAATAATCTTAGTTACAAACAATAGATTACATAAGATGGGACAATATATGAGCTGATTAATTATGTAACTATCATTAGCTATACATAACAACAATACGGACTACTGTTGAAAGGAAAAGGTTAGTATTTGTACTTCTTTTCATAATTCTTATTTCAATAATAATTTTATGTTCTTAACTTAGCTCTTAAAATATTATGGAATTAAAATTTTACTCTGCGAGCCTTTTGTTCAGATAATAAATCTATGGCATCGTCATAATTAACTTGATGCGCTGTTTGGTTTTCTGTTGCGAGACTTGATAAATGCTCCTGGCTCATCGACGATCTCCGATAGTTTTTAATAAGTTTTTAATTTGCTAAAGCGTCGCTTACAGCTTGCGGATGTAGTTGGAAACATAGAGTAAATCCGCTGGGCAATACAAGTATTGTGAAAAGGCATTCTGAAAATCATAGGTGTAGATCTGCTGCAAGAGATAAAAAGCTCTAGCCTTTTTTATGTGGACGAATAACTCTGAGGCTTGATTTTTAAAAACGGCAAGTTCCTGACAGAACTCGAGTGCATTTAGAGATCTCGCTCATATTTTCGTGCAAGATCTGCTCAACTCTTGCAGTTCTTCATTATATTCAATATTTCACGACCACTAAGAAATGGAAATTTGAATTTAGTGTAATAGACCTGTTTCCTTTCGTTTTAATTTCTGATAAGATTCGATCAAATACAATTTTTATTGCATTAGAAAGTAGCTGAACACAATGAAATGTTCGTGATTCGTCCTCGCACAATTCATCAAACTCCTTTTTGCGTTTTAGAATTCGTTTATTTGTCAGAATAGGTTCAACCTCAATTTTTTTCGGCTGCTGCCTTAAATTCTTTTATCCAATATTCCACAGGAATTTCTCTCATTTTTTGCAAAGTTTTGGTCAGACCTTCCATTAATGTGACGGAATGCGGAAGAATAATATCTTCCATTTGAATTTCAGAATTTATTCGATTGATTTCTCGAAGAATATTAGCCCAAATTGTCAGGCTGATAATAAATTCAAATTTTTTTTACAACATGTAGTAGATGTCCTGCTTCGTACTTTGATAGATAATTAATT